AGCCTCCCAAAGTGCTGGGATTACAGGCGTGAGCCACTGGGCCCAGCCAACTATTTATTTCATTTACTGTCTGGCTTCCTCCACAATAATGTAAGGTACCTGAGAGCAAGATGTTTTGCTTTTTCCTGCCTGTTGTATCTATAACATCTACATGACAGCCATGACCCTATGCCAGGCACTGACTTAACATTTTATATCCATTTACTTAATCCTCACAACAACGCAATAAATATTATTTACAGCATAATGCATATATAGCATATACACAAAATGAGAATAATAATAGCATCTACCTCATCATAATTGGTGAGGACCCAATGGCAGAGGCTGGGAGGTGCTCAAGACAAGCCTTGGCACCAAATACGAGCCCAGTGAATGTGACTATTACATAACACCCACTGCACAGAAGCGGAAATTGAAGCTAAGAGGGGCTAAAGGACATACCCAAAGTCACCAGTCTGGGTAGGGATTCAAACCTATGTCAGTCTGACTCCAGAAGCCATTTTCTTTCTTTTTTTTTTGAGATGGAGTCTCGCTCTGTCACCCAGCCTGGAGTGCAGTGGTGCGATCTCGGCTCACTGCAACCTCCGCCTCCTGTGTTCAAGTGATTCTTCTGCCTCAGCCTCCTGAGTGGCTGGGATTACAGGTGCACGCCACCATGTCTGGCTAATTTTTGTATTTTTAGTAGAGAAGGGGTTTCACCATGTTGGTCAGGCGGGTCTCTAACTCCTGACATTGTGATCCGCCCGCCTTGGCCTCCCAAAGTGCTGGGATTACAGGCGTGCCCGGACTTTTTTTTTTTTTTTTTTGAGACAGAGTTTCACTCTTGTTGCCCAGGCTAGAGTGCAGTGGCACGATCTCGGCTCACTGCAATGCCTGCCTCCCGGGTGCAAGCGATTCTCCTGCCTCAGGGTCCTAAGTGGGATTACAGATATGCACCACCATGCCTGGCTAATTTTGTATTTTTAGCAGAGACGGGGTTTCTCCACGTTGGTCAGGCTGGTCTCTAACTCCCGACCTCAGGTGACCCGCCCACCTAGGCCTCCCAAAGTGCTGGGATTATAGGTGGGAGGCACCGCGCCTGGCCCAGAAATCTTTTTATTTATTTATTTATTTATTTATTTATTTATTTATTTATTTATTGAGACAGAGTCTCGCTCTGTTGCCCAGGCTGGAGTGCAGTGGCGTGATCTCAGCTCACTGCAACCTCTGCCTCCTGGGTTCAAGCAATTCTCCTGCATCAGCCTCCCAAGTATCTGGGACTACAGGTATGTGCCACCACGCTTGCCTAATTTTTTTTTTTTTTTTTTTTTTTTTTTGAGGCGGAGTCTCGCTCTGCCGCCCAGGTTGGAGTGCCGTGGCCGGATCTCAGCTCACTGCAAGCTCCACCTCCCGGGTTCACGCCATTCTCCGGCCTCAGCCTCCCGGGGGCTGGGACTACAGGCGCCCGCCACCTCGCCCGGCTAGTTTTTTGTATTTTTAGTAGAGACGGGGTTTCACCGTGTTAGCCAGGATGGTCTCGATCTCCTGACCTCGTGATCCGCCCGTCTCGGCCTCCCAAAGTGCTGGGATTACAGGCTTGAGCCACCGCGCCCGGCCTAATTTTGTATTTTTAGTAGAGATGGGGTTTCACCATGTTGGCCAGGCTGGTCTTGAACTCCTGATCTCGTGATCCACCCACCTCCGCCTTCCAAAGTGCTGGGATTACAGGCGTGAGCCACTGCGCTCGGCTCCAGAAGCCATTTTTAAAACCACAATGCTAAGAATGTCACAGTGTTTGGAAGACAGGCAGAGACAGGAAACAAACTGGGTCTAGGAATTCAGTGTCCAAAGTCCTGCCTCTGGCACAAATCTCTGCGTATGACCTGAGCAATTAACTTCTGCCCTCAAGGCCTCCATTTTCCCTTCTATAAACCAGAGGAAGTCATTCCTCTTTCTGGACATGGGGACAAAACAGTTGTGGGGGTCAAATGAGATGGCTAACAGGAAAGCACTGTGGTAACCGTGAAATCTAATACTTTCCCATTCTAAGAGCTGCAGCCCCAACAATGACCCCAACAAACACCAAAGAACCAAGAATTCTGGGCCCTGGAAAGCAAACTTTAAGCATCCAAACTTACAGAGGGGAAAAAAGGTACACTCCCTTAACTATGTAGGCCTTGTATGTGGTCCTCTCTCTGCCCCATTGCTTTCCTTGCTCCTTGTCCTGGTGTTGTCCTCACCCTTCAGGTCCCAGTTCAGGTGTCTCCCCTGCCAGGAAGCCCCCCCTGAACCCCATGCCACATCAGGTGCCCAGTGAGCTCCCCCATCTCAGCTCTGCCCACTGTCGGGGGATACATCCGTCCCCTGCTGGACTAGGAATTCCTTGAGGGCACAGATTGGTGCTGGCTTGGTCCCTGCTGTTTCGCCAGCATTGCCAGCACAAGACCTGACACAGGGCAGAAGCTCACAAAATACTAGCTAAAGGAAGTAATGAATGGATGGAGGGATGAATGGTGTGTAACCGCCCAAGGGGTTTACCTTGCCCGCTGCCTAGACAGAGCTGATTCATCAAGGCAGGAGAACTGCAAGACAAAGTAATTCACGCAGAGTTGGCTGTGCGGGAGGGTTTTTTGTTTGTTTGAAACAGAGTCTCGCTCTGCTGCCCAGACTGGAGTGCAGTGGCACAATTTCGGCTCACTGCGACCTCTGCCTCCCAGGTTCAGCAATTCTCCTGCCTCAGCCTCCTGAGTAGATGAGACTGCAGATGTGCGCCACCACACCCAGCTAATCTTTGTATTTTTAGTAGAGACGGGGTTTCACCACATTGGTCAGGCTGGTCTCGAACTCCTGACCTCGCGATCCGCCCATCTTAGCCTCCCAAAGTGCTGGAATTACAGGTGTGAGCCACCGCACCCAGCCAGGAGTTTTACTATTACTCAAATCAGTCTCCCTGAGCATTCAGGGAGCATATATATATATTTTTTTCTTTAGATAGAGTTTCACTCTTTCGCCTGGGCTGGAGTGAAGCGACGTGATCTTGGCTAACTGCAACCTCCATCCCTGGGTTCAAGTGATTCTCATGCCCCAGCGTCCCGAGTAGCTGGGATTATAGGCGCCGCCACCATGCCCGCCTAACTTTTGTATTTTTAGTAGAGATGGGGTTTCACCATGTTGGCCAGGCTGGTCGCAAACTCCTGACCTCAGGTGATCCACCTGCGTCAGCCTCCCAAAGTGCTAGGATTACAGGCCTGAGCCCATGGGCCCAGCTGGAGCAGAGTTTCTAAGGATAACTTGGTGGGTGGTGGAAGCCAGTGAGCCAGGAATGCTGATTGGTCAGATATAAAATCACAGGGAGTCCCAGCAGTCTTCCTGCGCTCAGTCAGTGGCCCCCGTGCGTGGGGGCCACAAGATCAGATGGGCCAGTTTATTGATCTGGGTAAGGCCAGAGGATCCATCAAGTGCAGGGTCTGCAGAATATCTCAAGCACTGATCTTAGGAGCAGTTTAGGGAGGGTCAGAATCTTGTAGCCTCCAACTGCATGACTCCTAAACCATAATTTCTTATCTTGTGGCTAATGTTAGTCCTACAAAGGCAATCTAGTCCCCAGACAAGAAGGAGGTCTGCTTTGGGAAAGGGCTGTTACCATGTTTGTTTAAACTAGAAACTAAATCTGTCCCAAAGTTAGTTCAGCCTTCGCCCAGGAATGAACAAGGATAGCTTGGAGGTTAGAAGCAAGATGGAGTCAGTTAAGTTAAATCTCTTTCACTGTGTCAGTCATAATTTTGCAAAGGCGGTTTCAGTGGTTCTCCGACCCAGCCAATTATGTTAAATTCCCTTATGTTATGTCCCACGTAGCACACAGATCACCTTTTTAAAGTAGTTTATATTTTGGGTGTTTACTATGCCCTTTATTTCTATTTATTTATTATTTTTTGAGACAGTCTTGCTGTGTCGCCCAGGTTAGAATGGCACAATCTAGGCTCACTGCAGCCTCCACCTACAGGGTTCAAGCGATTCTCCTGCCTCAGCCTCCCAAGTAGCTGGAACTACAGGCGTGCGCTACCACATCCAGCTAATTTTGGTATATTTTGTACATACGGGATTTCACTATGTTGGCCAGGCTGGTCTCGAACTCCTGGTCTCATGTGATCCGCCCGCCTCGGCCTCCCAAAGTGCCGGTATTACAGGTGTGAGCCACCGCGCCGGACCTTGCTATGCCCTTTAGATCTGAGCTCGGGCGGCCCCCTCTAGGCAGCCCTGCTGGCCTCAGGTCCTTGGGTCAGGAGCTCCTCTGAGCTCCGGGGCTCCCACTTTCCCGACCACTCTGGGTTGACAGTGATGGATCAGGAGTGTATCTCCCAGTGCTGAGCAAAAAGGCCGCATAGTCTCTCTACCGAATGAAAGGACGGCGTATGAGCGCATTAATGAGTACACAGATGAACGTCCTCTCTGGTTCAAAGTCCTTTTCCAGATTCCCAGGCCATGCCTCCAGACTTCACCCCCGAACCATGCCCCTAATCCAGACTTACTGCCTACAGTAAAACTGAGGCACGTCGACGTCCTAAACGGAGGATATACAAGCACCTCCCAGATCAGGGGAAACTGAGGCACAGGGTGGAGCTTTTGAAACGAAGTTGCCCAAGGACGGCCGGGCAAAGGACCCCGTCCGGTTTCTCCTCAGCCCCTCCCCTAGTTCCTCTATCCTGGAAAGCTCCGTCTAAATTTCTCCCATCCCTCACACTATTGGTTTAACAGGGCATCAGTGTCCAAGTGCTCTTCCTCTATTGGCTGGCATTTCCTACTCACGCGGCGGCGCCCTGACCCGCCCCCTTACGCCACGCCCCGCCCTCACTATTGGGCCACCCGCACGCCCCTCTATCAGGAACCCTCCCTATTGGCCACTGGACTTTGCCGGTTCGGGCTGTGATTCGTCGTAAACAGAAGTCCATCCCCTGAGCAACCACCTGAGAGGGATTGGAGAAAGGAAAAAGGTTGGAGGGAATTCGGGTCAGACTCACGTTGAGCCGGCGGGAGGCAGATATAGGTCTTGAAGAACTCGCTTCGGCGGGCGGCCTCCTTAATGCGGTTGGCAAGCGGCTTGCTGACCTGCCGGATGCCCAAGTATAGCAGCTTCGCCATAGGGAACGCGCCCACCACCATCTTGGCGGTCTCACAGGGCACGCGCAACCCTGCTGACTGGGCGGGGCGCCTCAACCTCTTCACTCCTCCCCCGCCCTCTCGTGGCCATGCGTGCGTCAGTACGTATGTACGTACGCTCGGGGGAAACTGCAGAGGCGCACCCTGACGTCACCCCGTCGACGCTGACGTACCGGCGTCCGTTCGCTGAATATGCAAATGTACACGGAAGTGAGGCGGGTCGGGGGGCGGTGCCGTTAACGGATGCTGGAAGGCGCGTGGATTCCCACGCCCGCCTTGGCCGACGTCACTGTGCTGCTTCGTGATGTCATGTACCAAGTTGGCGTCCCCACCCAAAGGAGGCTCTTAATTAGTCCTAATTAGTCCTATGAGCCCCAAATACACCTTGCTCAGCAAGCTAGGGCTCTCATTGGGATTAAGAGGAAGCCACGTAGCCATACAGACCTTGGTTGTATGGCTCTGTCATGCCTCTGGGATCCATGACAGAGGATCCCAGCTCTGTCATTTCCTCGCTGTGTAATATTAGATGAGTGGCATAACCTCTCTGGACTTCAGTATTACCGTCTACCAAATGGGAATCCTAATAGCACTTGCCTCTTTGGGTTGTTGTGAGGCTTCTGCGCTAATCTTGAGTGTAAAACAGTAGACCATGGGAAGTGGTTAGAATGGTGCCAGTCATATAGTTAAGCATCCGTAAATAGCCCTTCTTACTATACAGGTAATGATTGCATTATTATTGCTAACTCCAGGCTGAGGGTGCATTTTGCCCCCAGAAGCAGGGAATACAACCCTTTCCCAAGTAACTGACAAAGAAACTGAGGCTCAGAGCGGGGCAGGGGGTCGCAGAATATTCCTGCAGAGGTTGATATCCTAGCATCTTGGCTAATAAAACCATACCCGTTCTCAAGCAACCCAACTTCCTTCATTAGGAGGTAGGGTCCCCAGGGAGCTAGTTCAGAAATAAGTTTAAGGACATGTCCCAGACTGTCCTTTCTTACCCAGCAGGGAGTAAAATCATATAAACAATGTCAGGAAGGGGTTGAGAGAAATTCCTGGATGATGGAGTGCTGGTGGGTAATTGAGAGATTCTGGGAGGCAGAGGGACAGAAGAAAAACAGGAACAGAGGACCGGCTGCCATGGCTCAAGCCTGTAATCCCTGCATTTTGGGAGGCTGAGGAGGGTGGATCACCTGAGGTCAGGAGTTTGAGACCACCCTGGCCAACATGGTGAAATCCCATCTCTACTAAAAAAAAAAAAAAAAAATTAACCGGGCATGGTGGCAGGCAACTGTAATCCCAGGTACTCCGGAGGCTGAGGCAGGAGAATTGCTTGAACCTGGGAGGCAGAGGTTGCAGTGAGCGGAGATCATGCCACCACACTCCAGTCTTGTTGGTGACAGAGTGAGACTCCATCTCAAAAAAAAGAAAAAAGAGCAGGAACAGAGGAGTGGTGTGCAGGAGGAAACATGCATTCAGGACACAGAATCAGGGGACTCTGGACTTCCTTGGTATCCACTCTGACTCTCTCAGTTTCCTTTGTCAAGCTCCTGGCACTGAGGGACCTGCGTTTCCTCTTCTGTAATGATGGTGCTGGTATGTGTGAACCCTGATATTCTGAATTGCTAAGAATGCCAGGATTCCATAAAAACAACCTTTCCCGGGCTCCCTTCCAGACTGAAGGTATGCAGGAACTTAGGACTACTTAAGGTCCATCATTCACTTGGGACCAGCCCCCTTCCCATTTTACAGACTGGTCAAGTGAGGCCAGAGGATGAAAAGGATTTGCCCACAGTTCCAGAGGAAATCAGGGTGGAGCTAAAACAGGGATTTATTTATTTTATTTTATTTTTTGAGATGGAGTCTCGCTCTGCCGCCCAGGTTGGAGTGCAGCGGCATGATCTTGGCTCACTGCAAGCTCCGCCTCCCGGGTTCACGCCATTCGCCTGCCTCAGCCTCCCGAATAGCTGGGACTACAGGTGCCCACCACCAAGCCCGGCTAATTTTTTGTATTTTTAGTAGAGATGGAGTTTCACCATGTTAGCCAGAATGGTCTCGATCTCCTGACCTCGTGATTCACCCTCCTCGGCCTCCCAGAGTGCTGGGATTACAGGCATGAGCCACTGCGCCTGGCCTTTTTTGTTTTTGTTTTTGAGATGGAGTCTGGCTCTGTTGCCCAGGCTAGAGTGCGGTGGCGGGATCTCAGCTCACTAAACAAGCTCCGCCTCCCGGGTTCAAGTGATTCTCCTGCCTCAGCCTCTGGAGTAGTTGGGATTATTGGTTCGCACCACCACGCCTGGCTAATTTTTGTGTTTTCAGTATAGATGGGATTTTAACATGTTGGCCAGGCTGGTTTTGTTTTTTTTTTTTTTTTTTTTTTTTTTGAGACGGAGTCTTGCTCTGTGCCCCAGGCTGGAGTGCAGTGGCGCGATCTCGGCTCACTGCAAGCTCCGCCCCCCCGGGTTCACGCCATTCTCCTGCCTCAGCCTCCCGAGTAGCTGGGACTACAGGCGCCCGCCACCTCGCCCGGCTAATTTTCTTGTATTTTTAGTAGAGACGGGGTTTCACCGTGTTAGCCAGGATGGTCTCGATCTCCTGACCTCGTGATCCGCCCGTCTCGGCCTCCCAAAGTGCTGGGATTACAGGCTTGAGCCACCGCGCCCGGCCATCCAGGCTGGTTTTGAACTCCTGATCTTAATCGGTCCACCTGCCTCGGCCTCCCAAAGTGTTGGGATTACAGGCGTGAGCCACCACGCCTGGCCTAGTGCTTAATTAATTTTATTGAATGAATGCAAATGAGCATTTGGAGGGAAGGAGTAGTGTGCAGGTTTTCATCTGATTCTTCAAGGAGACTGTTCAAAAAGTTTCTGGGGCAGGCCATGGTGGCTCGCACCTGTAATCCTAGCACTATGGGACGCCAACACAAGAGGATTGCTTGAAGCCGGGAGTTTGAGACTAGCCTCCAGAGGCTCCAGAGGCTGAGACAGGAGAATCACTTGATCCCAGGAGGTGGAGGCTGCAGTGAGCCGAGATCGTGCCAATGCACTCCAGCCTGGGTGACAGAGTGAAACTGTCTCAAAACAAAACAAAAAAAATTGGCCAGGCACAGTGGCTCACGCCTGTAATCCCAGCACTTTGGGAGGCCGAGGCAGGTGTATCACCTGAGGTCGGGAGTTTGAGACCAGTCTGGCCAACATGGGGAAACCCGGTCTCTACCAAAAATACAAAATTAGCAGAGTGTGGTGGTACATGTCTGTAATCCCAGCTACTGGAGAGTCTGAGGCAGGAGAATTGCTTGAACCCGGGAGGCGGAGGTTGCGGTGGGCCGAGATTGTGCCATTGCACTCCAGCCTGGGTGACAAGAGTGAAACTCAGTCTCAAAAATATGTATATATATATTCTCGCCCCAACATCTCCATTCCAGTAGCTTTATGGCAGTGGGATAGGGTGGGAAGACTACTAGGCCTCCCAGATCCCAGGCCTCCCTCTCTTCTCTAGCCCTCCAGCACTCCAACACCAAAGCCTGGATTTCCCCCATCTCTGTGCTCCCTCCACCCCAGAAAAATCATTGAGTGCACTTTTTCCCCCTATTCCTCTCCTCCTTCTTCCTTTCTCTGAGAAGGGTTCCCGGGAACGTCTTCTGGGAACCTCTGTGGAGGGAGGGGAGGGCAGGGGAGGGGGGAGGGTAGGAGGGTTGTGGGTGGATCTTCACACCTCAGGAGTCTGTTTACACACCCGTGAGGAGGAAAGGGAGAGGAGACCTTCTCTGAAGGGCGAGGCTTGTTCAGAGCTGGGTGCTTCTTCCTGCCCTCCAGCCTAGTTACAGTGGCCATTCCTGGTGACCCCTGAGAGCAGGGGAGGGAGGGCAGCCTTGGCCACCCTGGGGCGTGGGAATACAAGCAGCGATGGGGAGGGGAGAGGGAGCCCAAGTTGGCTCCAGCGCTGACTCACCAGCCATGCGACCTTGGACTGGTCGCCTGGCCTCTCTGGTGACCGCCCTAGACCAGGGCCTGGGATCCTTCCTGGAAATTATTCCTGCTCAGACCCCCCAGTCCCCCTTTTCCCGGAATGGGAGAGGTACTCATGTTTCATCATCCCGCTGGCCCCTGTGCTGCTTCCATGAGAGGATTCCTTCACAATAAATCCAAGGCTGGGCATGGGGGCTGAAGCCTGTAATCCCAGCACTTTGAGAGGCTGAGGTGGGAGGATCACTTGAGGCCAGGATTTCAAGACCAGCCTGGCCAACATGGCAAAACCCCGTCTCTACTAAAAATACAAAAATTAACCGGGCATGGTGGTGCGCACCTGTAATCCCAGCCACTCAGGAAGCTGAGGCACGAGAGTTGCCTGATCCCAGGAGGCGGAGGTTGCAGTGAGCCGAGATCCTGACACTGTACTCCAGCCTGGGTGACAGAGCGAGATTCTGTTTCAAAATAAATAAATAAACGAACAAAAATAAAACTCCAAAAGCTGATCACTGCTCCTTGTTAAATCCACCTGGCCCAACTGACAGCACATCCCTCTCGGACTCCTGCAGTCACCTCCTCACTGGGCTCCCGGCTTCTATCCTTGTCTCCCATATTCCTTTTTCATTTTGAGACAGGGTCTTGCTCTGTCGCCCAGGCTGGAGTGCAGTGGTGCAATCACTGCTCGTTGCAGCCTCCACCTCCTGGCTCAAGTGATCCTCCCATCTCAGCCTCCCAAGTAGCTGGGACTATAGACACACACCACCATGCCCGGCTAATTTTTAAATTTTTTGTAGAAACTGGGTCTCCCTATGTTGCCCAGGCTGGTCCCAAACTCCTGGCCTCAAGCAATCTTCCTGCCTCAGCCTCCCAAAGTGCTGGGATTACAGGCTTGAGCCACCATGCCCAGCCAACCTCCCATATTCTACTCCCTACTCAACAGCCCATGGGATACGGTTAATAAAGTCAAATCACCTTCATCCTCTACTGAGAACCCCCTCATAGCTCCCATTTATCTCAGATTAAAAGGCAGAGTCCTCACTGGGACTTACATGGCGCCACACGACCTGCTGTCCCCTTTCCTGTCTCATTTCCCCTTTCCTGTTGTCCTCCCCACCTCTGCTGCAGCCACACTGCCATACCTGCTATCTTTCAAATTCAGACAGTCTATCATTATTATTTGAGATGGAGTTTTGCTCTTGTCGCTTAGGCTGGAGTACAGGGGCACAATCTCAGCTCACTGCAACCTCCGCCTCCTGGGTTCTAGCGATTCTCCTGCCTCAGCCTCCTGAGTAGCTGGGATTACAGGCACCCACCACCATGCTCAGTTAATTTTTTATTTTTGTATTTTAGTAGAGACAAGGTTTCACTATGTTGACCAGATGGTCTCAAACTCCTGACCTCAGGTAATCCGCCAGCCTTGGCCCTCAAAGTGCTGGGATTATAGGCGTAAGCCACCATGCCCAGCCGAAAATTCAGACACTCTCTAACCCCAGGGCCCTTGCACCTGCAGTTCCCTCTGCCTGAAATGCTCTTCCCAGGACAGCCACAGGGCTGAGTGCCGCACATCCTTCAAGTCTTTGCTGGAAAGCCACCGCAACAAGACCTCCTCTGCCCTCCTTATTTAGATCAGACTCCAAGTCATCCTCTGTCCCCTCAACTGGCCTTACACAGAAAAATGTCCCCTTCACATTTAGCAATTCCAAACATTACATATTTTTTATTTACTTGTGTATGGTGAGCCCTGTGAAGGCAAGGCCAGGCTGCCTCAGTCATTGCTGTATCCCAGCCCCACCCAGCACAGTGTGCTACATAAACCTCTGTTGAATGAATGAATAAATACGCAGCCGGGCGCAGTGACTCACGCTTGTAATCCCAGCACTTTGGGAGGCCGAGGCAGGTGGATCATGAGGTCAGGAGATCGAGACCATCCTGGCTAACATGGTGAAACCACGTCTCTACTAAAAATACAAAAAAATTAGCCGGGCGTGGTGGCGGGCACCTGTAGTCCCAGCTACTCGGGAGGCTGAGGCAGGAGAATGGTGTGAACCTGGGAGGCGGTGCTTGCAGTGAGCTGAGATCGCACCACTGCACTCCAGCCTGGGCGACAGAGCGAGACTCCGTCTCAAAAAATAAAATAAAATAAAATAAATACCCTTTCCTCTTGTCCCAAACCTTCTTCCCAAACCTTCCTGCATCACTCCTCCAGGCAGTCTGCCCTGATTGCCCTTCACTTGAGTTCTGACATTCTCCCTCTTCATCCCCAGTCCTGACTTGGAGATCGCTGTTTATCCAGAAACTTAGAATTGCTGTCTTACGTTCTCTCCCCTGTATGACCAGGGGCTTTACAAACATAATGACTCTATATCCTCTGTATTTCTCCTTCCACTTTCTCCCTGAGTCACAGACTTTTATCCACTTGTTGGAAAAAAAAAAAATCTAACCTTCTCTATTTGTCTTTATTTTCTGGAAACCAAATGTTTGACTTAATTTATCTGGCCAGACATGGTGGCTCACATCTCTAATCCAAGCACTTTGGGAGGCCGAGGCAGGAGGATCTCTTGAGCCCAGGAGTTCAAGATCAGCCTGGGAAACATAGTGAGACTCCGTCTCTACAAAAAGTACAAAAATTAGCCAGGCATGGTGGCGCACATTTGTGGTCCCAGTTACTCGGGAGGCTGATGTGGATCTCTGGAGCCCAGGAGGTGGAAGCTGCAGTGAGCCACGATTGCACTACTGCACTCCAGCCTGGGTGACACAGCGAGACCCCGTCTCTAAAAAAAATATTTACTCATCTCCTCCTCCAGGAGGCCTTCCACAACTGCCAAACTGTGATGGCATCTGGGAGCACAAAAGTTGACCAGCGACACACCAACCTCACTCTTCCTAAGTTCTTGTATTCTTATATTAACATAGCCCTTTTTCCATACAATTTGCATACACCAGACCAGGAGAGAAGGGACTGTGGGATGAGAGGGGAAAACTGGGGGTTCTGTGCCACACGGGGTTCACTGTGCTGGTGGCAGCATCTTCAGCTGCACCTGGTCCCCCTGGGAGGGCGGAGTGGCCGCCCAGCCGCCAGTCATGGCCTTGACTGTGCTGTTCCTCTTGGAGGTGAGTGGGGTCTCCAGGGTGAGTGAGGCGTTGGCCATCTCCTGGGGCTTGTCGCTGGCCAGAAAGCGGAGCAGGTTGTGCAGAGCCTTGGCCACGTCGCTGCGGGCACCCTCGTTGACCAGGCAGTAGAGGATGGGGTCCGCCACACAGTTGAGGCTGGTGAAAGCCAGTGAGCTGTGGTATGCAGAAAAGACGCGCTCCTCGAAGCCGCAGTCCCAGGGACGGCCCAGGTAGATGGCGCTGCGGGACAGCAAGAGCACGTGATAGGGCGCAAAGCAGACCAGCACGATGGCGATGAGGCTGAGGGCCAGCCGCTTGATCTTGGCCTTCTCCTGGCGCTCGGTGGACACGCTGCCTCGCACTGCACGCAGGATGCCCCTGTACGACAGCAGCATGAGCGCCCACGGGAAGAGGAAACCCACAAAGACCCGATAGAGGTTCATCCAGGCCACCCAGCCTTCCATGGGGAACTTCTCAAAGCAGAAGGTGTGATTGTAGCGGTCTCGGAAGAGCTCGTCATGGAACAGGGGCGCCGAGTTGGCGCCCAGCTCGGTGGCCCAGACCACGGAGCTCACGGCCACGGCGGTCTTGACGCGGCGCAGGCGGGCGAAGCGGAGTGGGTGGGCCACGGCCAGGTAACGGTCCACCGAGATGCAGCACAGGAAGGCGATGCTGATGTAGATGTTGGTGTAGAAGATGAACCCGAAGAGCTTGCAGGACCCGGGGCCGTGGATCCAGTTGTCATGGTGCAGGAAGTAGTCCACCCACAGCGGCAGGGTGCAGATATACAGCAGGTCGGCGATGCTGAGGTTCATCAGGTAGACGCCCAGCTCGTTGCGCTGTTGCACCTGGCGGTAGGCCGCCCACAGAGCCAGGCAGTTGGTGGGCAGCCCCACGCCGATGACGAAGATGTAGAGGGATGGCGGAAAGAGGTGGTCCACAAGTGAGTCCACGTGGCAGCCCTCCCACGTGTGGTTGCCCATGGTGGGCACTTCGGCTTCTGGGACGCTTCCCCTGGCCCACGGGGGCTGTGGGGCCACGGGGAGCGGGAGGCCATGGGGCCCCCTGAGCCCCTTCCTTGGAGGCTCAGGGGAACATGGTGGGATGTAGTCTACAGGGAAGAGTTGAGGTCGGGTAGGCTGGGCTGGGCTGGGAAGGGCAGAGCTTGAGAGGGAAAAGTTGGAGGAGGGATGGAGTTATGACAGGAAGGAAGTCTGGAGGATGATGAGATTAATAAAGAGGTTTGTCAAGGAGGTTATGTATAGAGTTAATCAGGGTGTCAATGAGGGAGTATAGGGGTGACACAAAAATTGGTCTCGGGGAGTGTTTATGGAGGGGACGAAAGCATCACTGGGCAACGGTGAGAAGGAGATGTTTGCAGGGCAGTTAGGAAGTATGTGTAGCCATACTGAAGTAATAATGGCTGGGGGATGTTCTAGAAGACACAGGAAATACATGAGACAGTGTTGAGATAGGACACAGGGCAGTTAGGGAGTGTCGGAAAGTCCAGGCAATGCGGATGGGAGTGCTGGCATTTCCTAGGACCCCAGAAAGAAACAGAGATAAGGTCACTAGTAAGGAGAACGTTCTGGAAAAGGAGGTGTCTGGCACAGGTTGGACAAAGACAAAAGGCTCAGTCTGGGGACTGCAGGAAGGAGTCTTAGGAAACAGGAAGCAGGTGAGTAAGGTCTAGATCAGAGATGAGTTTGGGGACAGAAGGGAAATTTGAATGGGGGCAGGGGAGGGACTCCAGATTGGTCCTGGTGGGGGCTGAGAGACTGGGATGAAGTCAGTTCACCGCTGACTTTGCAGTGCCTGTTGGGAGAGAGGACAACAGTGAGGGAGTCACGGACACTCTGACCTTCTTCTCCCCACACTCCTCACCATAATTGCTGTGGACTGCAGAGAGTGGACACCCCAACAATGCCTACTTGAGCCCCACCCTAAGCAACCACTCTCTGAGAACACAGATTTGAGGTTTCAGGCATATTTTTCCCCTGATAGATGTTAGAATAAAGACTCAACTCAGGCCAGGCACAGTGGCTCACGCCTGTAATCTCAACACTTTGAGAGGCTGAGGTGGGAGGATCACTTGAGCCTAGGAGTTCAAGACCAGCCTGGGCAACGCAGTGAGACCCAGTCTCTACAAAAAGGAAAAGTAAAAATATTAGCCAGGTGTAGTGGTGCATACCTGTAGTCCCAGCTATTGAGGAGGCTGAGGTAGGAGGATCACTTGATCCCAAGGGATTCAGGCTACGTGAGCTATAATTGCACCACTGCACTCCAGCTTGGGCAACAGAATGAGACTCTTTCTCAAAAAAAACAAAAAACAAAACAAAACAAAAGGCTGGGTGCAGTGGCTCACACCTGTAATCCCAGCACTTTGGAAGGCCGAGGCGGGTGGATCATGAGGTCAGGAGTTCAAGACCAGCCTGGCCAACATGGTGAAACCCTGTCTCCACTAAAAATACAAAAGTTAGCCACGTGTGGTTGTGTGTGCCTGTAATCCCAGCTACTGAGGAGGCTGAGGCAGAAGAACTGCTTGAAACCAAAAGGCGGAGGTTGCAGTGAGCCGAGATCACGCCACTGTACTCCAGCCTGGGCAAAAGAGTGAAACTCTGTCAAAAAAAGAAAAGAAAAAAAGAAAAAGAAAAAAGACAGAGAAAAAAGGGAAAAAAGTCCCAACTCAGATTTTAGCACTTTCTTGCAGAAGCCCTGTAAAACTGGCACAGGTATCACATCATGCTTCAGGAAATGCCAGACTAGTCTAACTCTATCATGTCACAGACAGAGAGAAGGGGCCCAGAGAGGCTGAGTCACCTCCCTAAGGATGCACAGCATGGAAGCAATAGGACCAGGGCTGGGGCCAGCCTCCCTCTCCTTACCCAGGAATCCCATTCTTGTCAACAAGGATAATAACAGCAAACGTCAATCGAGCCCTACTACGTAAGAGATCCCATTCCAGGCATTTTTATGCGTATTATTTCTTTGTATTTATTTATTTTTTGAGACAGGGTCTTGCTCTTTCATCCAGACTAGAATGCAATAGCATGATCACAGCCCACGGCAGCCTCGACCTCCTGGGCTCCTAGTGATCCTCCTGCCTCAGCCTCCCAAGTAGCTGGGAACACAGGCATGCACCACCATAGTATAGATGGAGGTCTTCCTGTGTTGCCCAGGCAGGCCTCGAACTCCTGAGCTCAAGAGATCCTCCCCTGTAATCCCAGCACTTTGGGAGGCCGAGGCGGGTGGATCATGAGGTCAAGAGATCGAAACCATCCTGCCCAAAATAGTGAAACCCTGTCTCTACTAAAAATACAAAAATTAGCTAAACGTGGTGGCACGCACCTGTAGTCCCAGCTACTCGGTAGGCTGAGGCAGAAGAATCGCTTGAACCTGGAAGGTGGAGGTTGCAGTGAGCCGAGATCACACCATTGCACTCCAGCCGGGGTTGTAGATGGTCAGACTCCGTCTCAAAAAAAAAAAAAAAAAGAAAGAGAGATCCTCCCACTTGGCCTCCCAAAGTGCTAGGATTACAGCGTGTGAGCCACATGCCTGGGCCGATTTATGGATATTATTTCACTGAAATTTCCAGACTTCCTTATGAGAAAGTAGTTGTTCTTCCTCATTGACAAACTGAGGCACAGGCTGTTCCGAGACCTGTCAAGGTCCTGATTTGTCTAGAGTGCGCGCCATCGCCGGTTCTCAGTCCTCGTCTTCCAGGCCTGTGCTTCGTTTCCACCCCAGAATAACTGGGACTAGCCAGATTTCACAGTGTCATGCTTGTAATCCCGCACTTTTGGAGGCCAGTAGGAGGATTGGTCTGAGGGTCAGGAGCGTCGAGACAGCCGGCCAACGTGGGTGAAACCCGTGTCTTTACTTGAAATTACAAAAAATTAGCTGGGGATGGTGGCACGTTGGCCTGTAATTCCAGCGTATCTGGGATGCTGAGCAAGAGGGATTGCTTGAGCCAGGGAGGTAGAGGTGCAGTGAGGCGAGATAACCCACTGCACTCCAGCCTGGAGACAGAGACTCCGTCTTCAAAAAAAAAAAAAAAAGCCTGGCACGGTGGCTCGGCCTGTAATCCAGCCCTTTGGGGAGCAAGGCAGGGTGGAATCACCTGAGGTCGGGAGTCAGACCCAGGCCTGAGGCAAACATTGGGAATAACATTGAGAAGGCCTGTCTTACTTAAAATACAAATAGCCGTGTGGGTGGGGCATGCCTGTACATCCGTACCTTGGGAGGGCGGAGGTGGGAGAATTGCTGGAACCCGGGGAGGCAGAGGGTTGCAGGTGTGCTGGAGATGGCGCCATTGCACTGCAGCCTGGGCTAAAACAAGAGCGAACTCACTATCCCACACACACACAAAAAGCGGAATAACTGGACAGAAAAGGGTCCTGGGCTGCCAGTGGGAACTGGGAACCAAAGCTGCAGAAGAGTAAGGGAAAGGGGAGAGTCAGGAGTTGCTGGGAACAGTCAAGGTCAGGGTCAAGGTCAGGGAGCATGGGGAAGCCCTGGGGTTAGCGCCAGCAGTCTCCTCCCTCGGGGACCACTCCCTTCACTGTCTCTGCCCTTCCCCCCCCCCAATTTTCCTGAGTGAGAACCTTGAGCCTGCCACCCATTTTGTTCTGGGAAGATCTGCACACATAGGGTAAAGGATATTCATGGACCAAGCCCGTGTCATCAACCCCAGAGAGAAGCGGAGCCAAGTCCAGAGTCACAGGCAGCCTCAGGGGCCATTCCATCCAGGAGTCTTTTGGTTTAGTTATTTTGGATGTGAAGCCTGTTTTTTTTGTGTTTTTTTTTTAGAAACCAATCTAAAACAGTGAAAAGGGTGAGCTGCTAGCTGCTCTGGTGAAACGAGGTGGGGGTGGAGTGGCCACCTCTGAAGAATCCCCAGGATGCACTTTTAAAACATTTTTTTTTTTTTTTTTGAGATGGAGTCTCGCTCAGTCGCCCAGGCTGGAGTGCACTGGTGCAATCTCGGCTCACTGAAAGCTCCGCCTCCCGGGTTCACGCCATTCTCCTGCCTCAGCCTCCTGAGTAGCTGGGACTACAGGCGCCCGCCACCACGCTCGGCTAATTTTTTGTATTTTTAGTAGAGACGGGATTTCACCTTGTTAGCCAGGATAGTCTCGATCTCTTGACCTCGTGATCCGCCCGCCTCGGCCTCCCAAAGTGCTGGGATTACAGGCGTGAGCCACCGCGCCCAGCCTTAAAACATTTTTAAAATGGAGTTTAAGGTGAAGTCTATTGACAGATGAGGAAACCGAGCCCCAGAGAGGGGAAGGAAGGAGGTCCACGGGAGCCTCCCAGATGCCAGAGCATCTTTCCATGGGAAAGTCCTCTCGGCTCCATCTCCCCAGTGCTTCCTGAATCTGTGTGCGTCTCTCTCAAACACCTGCCACTGTCCACTCTGCGTCAGTGTCAGCATCATCGCTCGCTGGGATCATTGCAGTAGCATTACCATTGCTTTTCTGGGCTGCTACTCTGACTTCCTTCAAATCACTTCCCATATGGCAGCCAGAAAGATCTTTTCTTTTTTTTTTTTTTGAGACGAAGTTTCGCTCTTGTCACCCGGGCTGGAGTGCAATGGCCTGATCTTGGCTCACCGCAACCTCTGCCTCCCGGGTTCAAGTGATTCTCCTGCCCCTTCCTCCAGACTAGCTGGGATTACAGGCATGAGCCACCATGCTGAGCTAATTTTGTATTTTTAGTACAGACAGGGTTTCTCCATGTTGGTCAGGCTGGTCTCCAACTCCCAACTCAGGTAATCCGCCCTTGTTGGCCTCCCAAAGTGCTGGGATTACAGGCGTGAGCCACCGCACCCAGCCAATATCTTTCTAATATGAAAATCGGTTTTTTTTTTTTTTTTTTTTTTTTGAGACAGGGTCTCACTCTGTCATGCAGTGTTGCAATCTTCACTCATTGCAGTCTTGACCTCATGGGCTCAAGTGGTCCTCCCACCTCAGGCTCCTAAGTAGCTGGGACTACAGGTGTGTGCCACCACACCTGGCTAATTTTTCTATTTTTTGTAGAGATGGGGTTTCCCCATGTTGCCCAAGCCAGTCTACAACTCCTGGGCTCAAATGATCTTCCTGCCTTGGCCTTCCGAAGTGCTGGGATTACAGGCATGAGCACCTGGCCTAGTTCTTGTTACTTCCCTGCTTGAAACCCTCCAGTGGCTTCTAAATGGACTTGCGGTAAAATCTAGCCTCCTCATCTGGAGTCACAAGGCTCTGTCTGACCTGCTGGGGCAGCCTAGCCAATCTCACCCACCTTTCCTTCCTGCCTCAGCAGGCTCAAGGCCACTGACCTTCTTTCCAGCCTCAAACCTTTGCACATTTACTATACTCTCCATCTGGAATGCTTTTTTTTTGGAGACAGAGTCTTCCTCTGTTGCCCAGGCTGGAGTGCAGTGGCACAATCTCGGCTCACTGCAACCTCTGCCACCTGGGTTCAAGTGATTCTCCTGCCTTGGCCTCCCGAGTAGCTGGGATTACCGGTGTGCACCACCATGCCCAGCTAATTTTTGTATTTTTAGTAGAGATGGAGTTTTACCATGTTAGCCAGGCTGGTCTCGAACTCCTGGCCTCGAGTGATCCACCCACCTTGGCCTCTCAAAGTGCTGGGATTATAGATGTGAGCCACTCCTCTTCCTTCAGATGGTCTGAGTAGCTCCGTTCCCTCCTTCACTTCCTCAGGAGTCCCTCTCCACTCAGTCCCCGAATCTCCCCTGCCCCAGGACCCTCTCCTCACATCACCTTGTGTCTTGTTTGTGTCTGACTGTCTAGAATATGTATTCCAGGAGGGCAGAGACTCTGTGTGTCTTGTTGACTGTTGCATCCCTAGCACCCAGGACAGGCCCAGCATACAGTAGGTGCTCAATAAATTACCAAGGTCATGGTCAGGGAGCACAGAGCCATTTGCCAATGGCAGAAACCATTCCAGAAGCTTTGTAGAGGCCAGAGGCATAGAGTAAAAACATATTCTCTGCCCATGAGGCTGCCCCACCCCACCCCAGGCTCAAACAAGGGCATGGGGAGGAGGGGGAAGGGAGGGAGAGGAGTCGGTTCCCAGGGGAAGAGGTGGACAGGGGAGAGCTGGAAAGGGCAGGATCTATCCGCTTCTTAATTGACTTTGAAAGGTCAGGGCTGAGTCCTGCCCCCTGTGGGGTCCTCAGCGGCCGAGCTGCCTCCCTCGCCTCAGACTCCTGGGCAGAAGCTTGTGGGTCCTGTGGAGATGGAATGGGTGGGGGCGTACTCTGGGCTGGAACAGTGCGATCCAGTCCCTCCCTTCCATTAGAAACCTCCCACCCAGGCCAAGTCACTCAAAAGATCTCCCTCCCCTCTCCTCTGCCCTCTCTCTCCCCATCTCTCTGCCCCTAGTCTCTCCCTTCCTCCTGTGACATTTGAAGAATTACGTCTCCAGGAGCCTCAGTTTCCCCTTCTGTAAATGGGGGCACAGCCTTTATACTCATCACATCACAGACTGGAACGTCCTTGCAAGAATGCGATATCAGCTCCAAAACGTGCAGGATTTGAACAATTATTATTATTCCACCGGGACTAGGGGGTTGAGACAAGAAATGAACCAGTTCTTCATGGCAGGAGGCACCCACCAAGGGCTAGAAGTCTCCTTTGCCCCACTTTCTGTGACCCTCAGCGCTCTGCTGACCCGGGCAGGAAACATTTCCGGCAGCCAGAGGAGGAAATACACTTCCCATTGCTAATTTCCTCGAGGGGGAACCGGTCTAGTTCTCACCACTCCTTCCTCCCACCCCTCCTCCCCAACCTGCTGGCATCTTGGGGATGGTGGACATGGGGGGAGGGGTGCCCAGACAGCCCTCTCTTCTTCCCCACGTGAGATGTGCCCAATGTGGAAACCCCAAAAGTCAGCATGGAACGTCAGACTCTTAGAATGCCACAGTGCAGCCGACGTATATGTGACAGCTGCGGGTGCAAGGCTATTTTTGACCCCTTCCTGGTGCAGACGGGGAAATCGAGGCCCGCAGTAGCAAGGCAGTTGTCTAAGTCACTTGATGTCTCAAGACTGGGCAAACCTCCTGTCGCTCTTAACTAAACAGCTTCCCTTCCCCTGAGGTTTTTCTCTTCACTCTCTGAACTTCTGTAATTTTTCTCAAGTCTTTCTGAGCATCTCTGGCCCCTCTGAGAACCTACTGGAAGGTATGACCTTCTCCCCACAAAGAAAGCAAGCGACCTTCCATCACCTGCTCCCCATAACCCCGTTCCCCTTCCAGGACCCTCTCTGGTTCTAAGTTCTGCCCCTTACTTAGGCTCTGTTGAGGGGGTGAACCCCCAAATCTCACAGTCCACAAGAAGCTCCCCTTGTCTGTCCCACAGGCCCCCACTCCTTGGGTCCCTGCTGGCCCCTTCCAGAGGGTTGGGGGGAAGAGAAATATATCCAAGATTGGAGCGATAGTGGGATGGGAAAGACTAGGAAGACCCAGCCCCCCACCCCACTTTAGCAGCCTCGGCTGCTGCATCCTGCCAGCCACCCCAAAACCCAGCAAAGCTGAAAAACTTGGAGGATTTCGAGGACAAGAGGGTGAAGTGCTACAGCCCCCTTCATCCCCCAGCACCCCTCAGCTCACTCACCGGCCTTGTCCCCGATGCCACCAGGCTATCTCACCTCCCCCTTTTCCTCCTCTGTGGGCTCCTGCTCCCCCGCCTTCCCCCAGCAGCCCCAGGGGACCGGCCAGCTCCGGTCTGCTCATTAGGGACGAAATGTGATCACCGGTCCTCGCTCCCCACCTGGTGCCCTGGCGGCCGGCGGAAACCAGGGGGCAATCGGGCCACCCTAACCGCCCCACTGCACCTCAGTATCCCCGTTTCAACCTAGGGGGTCTCTGTGTCCCCCACGCCCACACTGCCCATTAGGGATACCAGTCCTTAGACTGCCTCTCTGACGTTCTAGGTCCCTACGGTTCTGCAATCTTCAGGTTCTATCCTTAGTTCACTTCGCAGTTGAATGTTCTATTATAACATTCTAGAGCATTACTCTTCTTTCATTCTATTTATTACATCGTGGCTTTGTAAGTACCTACCCTAAGTTTCCAATATTCTAGGAGTGTCACATTCCAAGATTCGAAAGTTCTATTGTTAGAACATGCTATGATTTTTTTAAGCATTCTATGACTTTCATAATCTATTATTAAACCGTCAGTGATTTTTATCTTTCCCCAGCAAACAGGAATACGTATTTCCCTTTTCTCTTTTACAGAAATGGGAACGTACACTAAATACGGTGAGCCCCACTTCCTTTTCTTTCCCCCCTTCTCTCGCCTGCTTTTGAACATTCCAGCAGCCTGATTTCTAAGATTGTGCAGAATTCTAAGAAACTATGGATTCACAGAGGGAAGAGAGGGGCATGTTAGTCACCACCTCCACCTGGCTCCTAAATTCTCACCACCTGGGGGTGACATGAGATATCCAGGCCGCCTCTCTACCCTTTCCCTAGTGGGCCTAGCCTCAGCCCTCCCCGCTCACACCAGCTGAGTTATTATTTGTCTAGACACAAACCAAATTATAGGCCCTGTCCCCGAGGGAACGGTGGGCTCCAGGCGGAGGGTCAGGAGACTGAAGCTGGAGTTAATCCCGGTTCCCCTCCACCTCCCTCCTTCTCTTCCCGAAACTCCACCCCTTCCACCCAAACCAATTCTTGCCCCTCTCCCTCCCCACCACCATGGTTTTGGAAATATTTTCTCTCCTCTGCTTCTAAAACCCTCTCTTCTGGTTTCCAGCCATTTCTACTCACCCTGGCATCTCTCCCTCCTCATTGAGAAGACCTCTTTCCCCAAATTAATCCGGCTTAGTGGTAGAAGAAGAAGCCAGCTCTCTGGATTTGGGCTTCGGTTGAAAACTGGGGTCCCAACCCTCCAGCCTGGCACTGACTCACTGTGGGGACTTCTGCTCTTGGGCCTCAGTTTCTCCATCTATAAAATGGGGGTGGGGGGAGTTGGCCTAGGTGGCTCTGCAAACCCTTTCCAACTCTCAGCTGCCATCACTGAAATGTGCCAAGATTTCAACACTCCTCTTTTTGGATTGAAGGACTCCAGTATCCCCAGGACCTTTCATTGGAAGGATCTGGAATTTCCAGGCCTCCCCTCTGATCCTTCTTCCATCTGGGCCCTTCCATTAAAAGATATTCACGTTCAAGGTTCTTGATCATATGATTCCCAGGGTTCCAGGGGCCCCCATGGGTCTCTTATCCTCTTCAGCTGGGATTCCCCCAGAAAAGAAAACCTCCTCATCCTCACCCCAAACCTGAAGTCAAGTTCATCTACAGAGACAGATCTGGGGGCGGGTGCCCCCTTGTGGGTTCAGGAGGAGGGGTGCTGATGATGGGCTCTGGAGGGGGCACTGGGGGGTGTGGCCCCATCTTCTCCACTTCTGCCCCAAACAAATTCCCCAATGCACATCCAGCCCGAGTGCGCACACCCACATCCCACAACCGATGCCTCCCAGACATTCTAGGGCTGTTCCTCAGCCTAGTTTGGGAGGAGGGGTTGTCCAGTTCCCCGGGGGGAGAGTGAGGCGGAAGCAGGAAAGAGTTAACGGTGACCCAGCCAAATCCTGGAAGAGAGGAAGTAGGCGAGGAAGTTCACCCCCCAGCCAGGAATTCCTGAAATTGGCGGGCGGGGTGGGTGCGACTTCAGGGGCAGTGGGGTGGCTCCGGGAAGAGGGCGCTGGGGTCAGGGTGTCACTTAGAGTCCTCCTGCCCCAGGTCACAAGCCTCCTGCCCTCTACCCCCAAGCAGCTTCCCAGCCCAGAGGAAAGTTCCAGGATGCGGAGGATTTGGAAGGAGAGAAGACAGAGCAGAAGGTGCCAAAACAGGCTTATAAGAGACGGAGAGACAGAGACAGGGCAATAGAGAGAGACGGAGAGACATGAAGGGAGAGAGCAAAGAGATACACAGAGACAGGGAGAGATGGAGATAGAGGCAGAGACATCCACAGAGGTCCCACAACAGATGGGGGAGAGGCAGAGGCAGGGACAGAGGAAGGTGGGACCCAGAAACAGAGAGACAGAGACAGATGGAGACAGACGGAGACCGGAGAGGCAGAGATCAAGAAACTGACAGAGGCATCCAGAGACACAGAAAGAAAGACAGGTCCAGAGGCAGAGGGACCACAGACACAGAGACATCAGGCGGGAGTTGGAGACAGAGGCAGAGCCAGGGAGAGCAACAGAGGGGGCGGGCGCCGAGACGGCGCGGGAGACTGAGGCAGCCCCAGAAGGGGCGGGGAGGAGCGGTCCCGCCAAGAGCAGGGCAACCTAGTGAGACCTCGCAGCATCGCGGGGGCCGGGGAGGGCCCGGCACTCACCTGCGCGCGGCGACTGGACGGGGCGGGCGGCGGCACCTCTCTCGGCTGCGTCCGGGTCTCCGGTCTGAACGACGGCGCGGGGACCCAGCGGATGCCCCCGCGGGGCAGAACAGCCGCTACTCCTCCCGGCCCCCGGGCCTGAGCCGTCAGCTGAGGCCCCGCCCCGGCCAGGCCCGCCCCCATTAACCCCACCACTGCCGCTGCCCCTTAACCCCTTTCAGACTTCACCCCATTCAACACCTCCAGCCCCCGGTGAGGCTCATCTGCTGCTGGAACACCCCCTAGTCCTTCCAAGTCCCCAGCTGGAAGGTCCCCTCTCTCGAACCACACACCCCCAACTTTATCAGGCCCTCAGCTATGGGAAGAGGAGGCCCCCCCCTACTGACCTTCCCTGAGTTGAGCCATTTCCTCCCGTAGAGACCCCAGGCCTCAGTCATTCATCTTCTGGCCGTTAACCTTCTGCATCTTCCGCTGGTAGGAGGGGGAGAACAAAGGGTTCTGTTAGGTCCCCAACTCCAAAGTCAGGGCCACCCCTAGAAGGAGCTCTGGGGTTGCACTTCCAGCCTGCCTCTTGGTCAGACCTTAGGCTAGTGACATCTCCGTGCCCCAGTTTCCTCTTTGAAACAAGGTGGTCACTCATGGTGCCTGCTTGCTTCCTTCCTTCTTTGCTTTGCTTTGCTTTTTTCTTTCTTTTCTTTCTTTTGAGAGGGAGTCATGCTCTGTTGCCCAGACTGGAGTGCAGTGGCACAATCTTGTCTCACTGCAATCTCCACCTCCCAGGTTCAAGCAATTCTCCTGCCTTGGCCTCCCAAGTAGCTGGGATTACGGGTGTGCACCACCATGCCCGGCTAATTTTTGTATTTTTAATAGAGATGGGGTTTCACCATGTTGGTCAGGCTGGTCTCGAACTCCTAAGCTCAAGCTATCTGCCCACCTCAGCCTCCAAAAAGTGTTGGGATTACAGGTGTGAGCCACCGTGCCCGACGTCTTTTTTTCTTTTGCCCAGTCTGGAATGCAATGGCACTATCATGGTTCCCTGCAGCCTCAACCTTCCAGGCTCAAGTGATCCTCCCACCTCAGCCTCCTGAGTTGCTGGGACCACAGGCATGCGCCACCACAGCTGGCCAATTTTTAAACAATTTTTTTCTACAGACAGGGGTCTCACCATGTCTAGGCTGGTCTCAAACTCCTGGGCTCAAGCCATCCTCCTGCTTTGGCCTCCGAAAGTGCTGGGATTATAAGACTGACCCACCGAGGCCGGTCATCATGATCCTTTTCTCTTGGGGGTTTCATTTCATTGTGTCAATGCTATTAAGTCTGTAAAATACGCCAACCAAACCTCAACACTCCCCATCTTTCTCTGCCTCACTTTCCCCCTACCCTTTGGGGAAGGTGACATTCTCCGTCTCCCTTATTTTTTTCTAGTTGTCTGCCTTCCTACCAGGAGGAGTGTCATTTTTGTGTCTGGCTTGTTTACTGTTGCATGTCTGTTGCCTACAAGACAGCTGGGCAGGTGATAGGTGTGAAATACATTGTTTTCGGGCTGGGTGCGGTGGCTCACGCCTGTAATCCCAGCACTTTGGGAGGCCAAGGCAGGCAAATCACGAGGTCAGGAGATCGAGACCATCCTGGCTAACACAGTGAAACCCCGTCTCTACTAAAAATACAAAAAAATTAGCTGAGTGTGGTGGTGGGCGCCTGTGGTCCCAGCTACTCCGGAGGCCGAGGCAGGAGAATGGCAAGAACCCGGGAGGTGGAGCTTGCAGTGAGCTGAAATCGTGCCACTGCACTCCAGCCTGGGCAACAGAGCAAGACTCCATCTCAAAGAAAAAAAAGAAAAAAATACACTGTTTTCAGGGAGTGAACAAATGAATGATAAGTGCTCCTAAAACATTAGCTTATTTTTATTTTTGACTTTACATCTTTCATAAACTAATCATGAGAATTCATTATTGGTTAAGGGACCTCAGATAGACGTGGCATACAACACTAAAAAATGATAGCTGTCGGCCGGGCACGGTGGCTCAAGCCTGTAATCCCAGCACTTTGGGAGGCTGAGACGGGCGGATCACGAGGTCAGGAGATCGAGACCATCCTGGCTA